TTTGAATCGAACATTTTATGGCCCCTTCGCCACTACGGTTCTAAAGGTCAGCCAACGAAAGACGAATCAGCATAAAGAATTTTCTAATGAAATTATAACTCATTCTTCTTCGATATGCCTTTACGTATTATAACTCTCATCTTACTTGAGATTCATATAGAATTGGCGATACGTAGTTTTACGGTTGACTCTCGTTGAGTGTCACTCCGATAAGTGCTCGATTCTCCTTCGGTCGCTCGCCTTCTGCTTGCGCCTTGGGGCATTCGGATAATCCCCACTCTATCGCCCACCCAGCCTATTGTTTTACACGGCCGGAAGCAGTGCGTGTTTGAGAAACAAGTAAAGACAATAAATTCGAATAATGATCTGTTTAAGAGTGGCCACCCACTCGTAACACGACTCGATAAGTGTTACTTTACTTTGAATCGCGTTATCCTACACTCTCAAAATCGTATACTTTACGGGAGTCTACTGTATATGAAAATCGTTATAAAAGTGCTGAATCGAGATACGATTTTATAAGATAATTCATCATCTTGGACACGAGTATACAATTATTTACGTATATCAAAAGAGAAGGGGCCGGGGATGAACTGACTTCAATTTATGCGCTTATCGTAATCCATAAGGCGATAAGAAAGTAATTAAAAACAAACGGCCGACCGAGTGGAACGTACTGCGATGTTTCGTGAATTTTTAATTCGACATCTAAAAGGTTTAAAAGTTTAGTGAGTCTCCCCGCTTAATGCTTCGAATTAATTAATTAGCATGGCTTTAGTTTGAAATCCTGAGTGTTGTTAATGATTACCGTACTCGAGTGCCGAGTGTGCTGTCTGAAACTTTCCTGAAATGAGGTTAATATCCTGTTTACCAGCTCGTAACGCCTCTTATCACAAAAACAAGTTACGGCATGGGTTATTTACGAAATGTATCGATGCAAGTGTAGATACACGCGAGTTAGCTGCCTATATCAGCGAGTGTACGTGGTCCAGTACACACAAATACTTTCATCCGTTTCATCTTCTTCCTGTACGTTTCAATCGCACTGAAAATAAGGTACGACGGCCATACAAATTTCACGTCGGGAAGGAAAAGAAGCTAAATAAAATTGGCCTAGTCGAAAGTTCCTAAAACAGAGGAAGTCGACAGAAAGAGTGAGCATCGTGCACCAAGACGTATAAGAATTAGGATACGGAGAGCCCTAATAAAAATTCTAAAAATTCTAAAAATCGAGAACCCGTAGAGGTCCGAAGCTAATCCTAATTTGGTCCGGTGGGCACCTAAAGAGGCTCTTGACTTGCCAAAGAAAATTCCGACCAAGTATATCGTATCTTAACGATTCCTCCAAGATTTCTCCTAGGAATTTGACGGCGAATTAAAGGAAATTTAAAAGCGACATCGAGATACCGACAGTAATAACACTGCGCTGACAAATAACATTTTTGCCACGTAACTTTAAGAGGCCGCTTACACGAACGAAGAGGATGCAGAAATTTCACATGTAATTGTTGGGTCGTCAAGGATGAAATTTGTAGTTATTAACTAACTTTGACTTTTTTCTCTACAAATTTCATCCTTGACGAGCGAATATATTGCGAGCCACCGTCAACGAAAGAAATATAGAGATCGAGTCACGAGATAATAGGAGGAGTTATCGATCAGCGATCATCCTAAATAACATGGTATGCCACCTATGCCACCAAAGCGATTAACGGGAGAGTGACTGAAGGCTGCGTTAACGGGTTTCGCGAGAGCTTTCCGATCCGTCGCGTTTCTGATCGGCGCCCGGCTGCGCAGCGTTACGTAACGCCTCAACGAAGAGACATATACCGGGGGGGTAGAATGAAAATTCCTCGCAGCTTTCATCGTTATCTTATTGTTCCACGCGTGCACGAAAGCGAAGCACTTTGCGCATTCGCCTGGAATGATAGGCGAGAGGAAGTCGAACATAAAGCCGGATCGAACTACTTTCACCAACTTTGCGTTTGTCTCGTTAAAATAACCTTGAAAATCAGCTTGACAGATGATTATAAATTGTACAATATTCTTGTCGCTGCGGAAACTTTGCCGATTACCAAAAGGTTGTCAAGGAAAAGAAATTTTGGGGTACGAGAGGATCGCTCGCTTTCAATGCAACTTTAAGCAAGCAAAAGGCTTCTCCTTTCTCCGTCGCGACTCGCCGGTTGAATCTTCCAGCGCGTCAATGTAAAGCCACGGCAGAGGAGCTGCTTTAATAAAAGATGATCATGAATAACGAGCAACTGCAGAGAGACTGAATTATAAATGAAAATGCCAGTAGGTTGTACAAGGAGCGTGGCATTAACAGGGACAACCGAGCTACCTGTACAACGCTTTAATTATAAGAATTAATAGGTGGACGTTGATATCAGAAAACGATGTTCGCTACGGTATACGAATAATAAAACGATTCTGTATAATTTATGTCTCGCATGAAGAACGTTCTCGAGACAGTGACGAAGGGTCATGATGATGTATTTCTATATGCGGCATCAGTTCGATTCTCACAATTTTTCTTACTTTGCACGAAGCCCCGATAATAGTGTCTTCCTCTGCATTTTTCTTATTTCTAGCAGTATGGCAATCCGGGTATATCCGGTCTGACAAGTGAAAACCCGCTTTATCACGCTGCCGTATTACTCAACCGGCCGGCAATGCGTTATGCTTCGATTAACACGAAGGAAATGAGCTGTTAACCGAAACGTTTTCATTTCGCTTAACGCGCCCCGATAAGGGACGCCCTATCGCCCTACCGCCCCCCCCCATCGCCCTATCACCCTACGACCCTGCCCCCGCTTAGGAACTATGACCTCTCCCACCTTCTAACGTTATATCTTATTCGTCTTTCGATCGCTCCTTTGTTTCTCCTCCTAGCAGACTCGCGCGTCCCGCATTCGTCGATTGTTTCTTGTTTTCTCTTTTTCATTTACGCAATAGACGATTATTATATGAAAAAGAATGTTCAATCAAGTCATTCGGAATGAAACGTAGATAAGTAACTATACGTATGTGACGTCCAACAATTCAACGTTATTATACGTTTGTATGATCAAAAGAAAATTGAATATTGCGCAATCCTTCCGAAGAAAGAATCCACAAAAAATATAGACAAATGACTTTCGAAATACCCAAGTTTACCAGGATCTTGCAGTTTATTTGCCTAGGAAAACGAAATTTACTACTGATTGGCAATGAGATCTGTAAAATTCAAATAAGTCATTCATAGAAGATTCAAGGAATGAATGTTTGACTACATTAATGTTGGGGTTACACCCGTCAGAAGCGTGTGAGTGCGCGCCGAAGTACAGCGGACAAACTTTTGTTTCTTTTACGCCTTCGAATGAATTATTCGCAGGACTCGGAAGTGAGCCTCTATCGGGCCAAGACACGCAATCTCTTTGTTCTATTAAAATCAATTTTCTTTAAGACTACTTTCTTTAATTCTATTTCGTGAAAAATACATTCGTTTCGACGCAACAAGACTATACCTCGCCTATGAGCTAATAAAGGATAACGAAGATGAATATTGTTCGAGAAAGTGAAAACAAGTATTAAAGAATTACGCGGATGACGTAATGAGATTTACGGTAATATATATCCCATGGTAAAACTTGGTTCTGAAAAATTGGCCAACTTCAAGAAAGTAAGATTGAGCGTTTCCCCGTCTCCTTATACTTTATTGTCTTCGTACTACTTTGCAATATTCAAGTTTATTGCGCCTGCGCACTCTCTCGGCCTTCCGATGTCGAAGAGGCAATAAAGTCTCGAGTGACAAAAGATAGAATTAACCCGTCCACGATATCACGAAGAGAACTTGAATGCATATCGTTTTGAATTCGATGGTCGTAAATTTCACAAAAAAAGAAAAAAACATTGCCTCGTCCTGACACGATTCGATAAGTGCATTTCTTCTACCTATATGTCTGAAAGATGGTACAGTAATCATGAGTATCTCCACCGTATATTATCCCAGCGTAGATAATGTCGGGTTTTATCAGCGAGCGTTCCCGCGGTAACTGCGAAAGAAGAGAAAAAGGGAAGAATAAAAAGAAGCAAACTTGAGAGGGAATGAAAGAAGAAGGAACAAAGGGGTAGCAATAACATGGCAAGGAGAAGCCACATTGCTAACGTGAAGCTCCGTTGCCATAAAGGCTAGAGTATATGCCGCGAGAGAGAGAGAGAGAGAGGGGGGGGTAGGAAGGAATAAGG